AACCACCTAGATGTTAACACTGCTCTGCTACAAGGTAAAAGCTCCTAACTCAAATTTATTGGAAAAGGAGTGAAACTTCTGCAAAGTTTAAAAAGAGGTACTTTTTGCTTATGAAAAGAAACCAGTGAATCTTCTAAGAATAACAAAAGGGAGTATTTTACAGTTAAGCACATGATTTGGAGTGAAGAATTCTGACACTGCTCTGCTGGTCCAGGGTGTTAATACTCTTCTTGTTCCTCCTGTGGGCCCCCTTCATCAGGTATCACAAAGCCTTCCTGAAATGGAAAAGTGAGAGGGGAAAGCTGTTACTTAACACTGAATGATCGGTTTCTACTTTTCTCATAGTTAAAGCCTTTCAAAGTAAGCAGTCCTTGTCTCTACCACACTTGGCACTTAATCACACAGGCCAGGTGACCATTATTTTATTTCTGGACAGTTGAATCATACCTTACATAAAGCCAAAACTGAGCACATCAAATCCACTCTCAAAATTTTGGAAGTGATGAATGTGTACATTGTCTTATTGCACACATCATCAAATATAAATTTAAAATGTGTGCAAGCATATGTCAACTACACCTCAATAAAGTTTTTTTGGTTGATTTGTTTTGGCATGGTTTTTTGTTTTTTTTTTTTGAGATAAGGTTTCACTATGCAGTTCAAGCTGGCCTTGAACTTTCTATGTAGCCCAGGCTGGCCTCAGTCTCCCAAGTGCTGCAATTACAAGTATGTACCACCATGCCAGCTAATAAAGTTGCTATTAAAAAGAAAGAAAATTGCCCTCAAAATTCCCTAAAGACTCCCATAAAGTTCAGTAATCTACCATCTAATCTCAAACTATTAGCTTTTCTTTTACACATTTTGATTGTACTTAGGAACCATGTTTAACCAAAATACCTGCAATAGCCAAAACCAACGCAAATTTAACAGCATGGGAAAACCGAATGTGAAGCAAAGAGTGGATTCATGACTTCCACTTCATGCTCAATCTTTGGCATTCCACACGTACTTACAGCAGGGAATGGATCAACTACACTACCATGAAAATTTTATCACTCCTTCCACCACCATCTTATTTTGTTTTTCACTAAGTCTCTCTTAATTTACTGAAGATGTGTCTCCATCAAAATAATAACTCAGACTAGACCAAAGACTCCTACATCTTCATCATTTTTATCTTCACTGTCTAGCACAGAACAAGTCCTAAAGATTTACTTAATAAATTTCAGTTTTTCAGTCATCTGTCTTAATCAGAAGATAGTGACAATAACAACATTACTATTACTTTATGTTTATATAGTGCTACACATACTACAGTTTGTGGTTTGACCATACAGACCTTGCTAGGCATGCAGAATTATAAATACAACCACTGAAAGTTGATATAAACCAGCTATCAACTCCTAAATCTAAAAAAATCAGTCTTCCTTAATCAGCTAACATGTCCATGATTAGTAACAGTAGATATAGCTGTGTAATAAAGCAAAGAAGGGCCAGGGATTTAGCTCAGTGGTTTCACCACTTGCTGTGCAAGTGCAAGGACCTGAGTTCGATCCCCAGTACCAAAAATAAATAAATAAATAAAGCAAAGAAATCTGATCACAAAGTATTCTGAGGGAATATGCAATCTCCTAGGAGGGAGAAGTAAAGGTACATTTCTTGTCAGCTAAGGGCAGCAGACATTAAGAAGGGGCCAGGGACATGCTAGCTGAGGGGGTCCAAGCTGTAGGGGGTGGAGGATACTTCTAACTAAGAGCATTTTGTGGCCTATCGATGGTTACAAACTACAGAAGCTGAGCAAATCAGCCACCTCTTCATCCTACTCTTTCCTCAAAGAGTCACAGACCTCAACACAGAGGCTGAATTTGGGCAGAGGTGCTCTTAGGCTGACTTTCAAAGATCAAAGATTAAGTCTTGATGAAGGCTACACTGGAGTACAGGCATCAACAGTTTACTGAAATCAACTAGATTAAGCTTATTTTCTCTTAGGAGGAAAATGAGAAAGAAAATATCTTCATGTCAACACTTACGTCTGTGGCATAGAGAATATCTACAATCCTCTGCAATACAGGGTCATTTTCCCCCTCATTCTCCTGACAAATCAATTCAATGTTCCTTAGCTTTCCGAAGTAGAAATCTCTTTCTTTCTCCAAGTCTTCAACAGTAAGTTTCAATACATTGACCTATTCAAGATATATTAATAAGAGTGAGACATGTGGCATTAACATAACAATAAAACATTACACAAACTTCTAACCCCAGAGGTGATATGGTCTTTAATAAAACTGCACAAAAACTTAGTTCAGTTTAATGTCAATTTTCTTCAGCCCCAGATAAATAGTATGTATTTGTTCAAGGTATTCTTGACGGTAACAGCTCCCAGGAATGGGCAGACTACATATAAGACCATACCTTGAGACATACAGGGCCTTCTTAGGAACTGAGAAAGGATCAAGGAGAAAAAAACTAAGGAAGCCAGAGACAAATATAGAAGTAGAACCCACAGAAAAATACAGGAGTAGAAATCCACAACCCAGCAAAGTTAAAAGACAATCATAAACTATGTCCCTACCAGGGGACTGTCAATCAAGTCCAATTCTGGTTGGTTGGGAAATCAATGGAAAGGTTGGATCTGATCCCTGAGGGGCTCAGCTTCGCAAAAAGAGGATATTAACAAATAAATCTCAGTACTTAGGTAAGAAATCTAGCCAAGAACAAGGGTCCTTTATGTATTTAATTTCAAATCTATGATGAAGAAATTCAATGTAACTCTCAATGAATACAAACTGCATGGCATACCCTTAACAGCCTCAACCTACAGGCAAAGCCCACAAGAGTAGCATGGAAAGCAAAGGTGCAGTGCTGAGAACAATTCTGGCAAGAAATTCTGAGAGCACCAGACGGCACCACAGAAATCTGGTCCAACCTTCTGAACATATACCTGCAAAAACACAACCAGATAGCTAATGCAGCTTTCCTTCAACCAGATGAAGAACCCAAACACAACTGAGATAAGTCCCACTGTAGGATGGAAGGAAGCTCCCTCTTCATAACCTGCAGTCAAAAAGCACTCAGGGTTAGGGTTGTGGCTCACTGGTAGAGCCACAGGTTCCATCCTCAGGACAAAAAAAAAAAACCTCTGTGGCTAGTAGTCAATTGTCACTCTTAGAATCTTTCCTTTTACAGTAGTAAATCAACAGTTCTTATCTAAGAAACCTAAGGAGGATGTTTTGGGCTTGCAATGGCCAAAACAGTAGCCATCAACCACATATGGTTATTTCACATGGCCAGAGGAAGTGAGATGAGCTAAGCTTTTTTGTATTTATTTTGAGACAGGATATCACTGTCTCAGTGCAGACTGGTCTTTAACTTACTATGTAAGCCCAGGCTGGTCAGGAACTCACAGTGATTCTCCTGTCTCAGCCTCCAGAGTGCTGGGATTACAGGCATGCACCACCACCCCTGGTACAAGCTATAAGTATTAAAATACAATCCAGACTTAAACACTGAGTACAGTCTTCAAAGAGCAAAACATCTCATTCAAAGTAAATTTCTCCAGGATGACTTAATAATGTAAAATCCTTATAAATCTCCTAAGGATATGAATATCATAAGGTAATCTGCGTAGAACAGTTTTGTTCTCTTAGCCTAATGACCATCTGGCTCCACATTTATCAAGAGCTACAAATTCAAATGCTTTCAGGGAGGACAGATCATACGAATGAACCAAGAGTCAGTAACAGACTAGACGAAGTACTCTGGCAACCTGGAAAAGGCCTGAAGTCTTTCACACTAATAAATTAAGCGGGGAGGGGAGCTGAGCACACACTTATAATACTAGCATTCTGAGAGGCTGACACAGAGGATCACAAGCCCAGCCTGGGCACCTTCGCAACTTGATGAGACCCCCATCTCAAAATAAAAAGTAAGAAAGGGGTGGGGATGTAACTCAGTGCAAAAGCCCTGGGTTCAATTCCCAGTACCATCAAAAAAAAAAAAAGTGCAAGACTAAGTACTTCAGTGGTAAAGATTGATCAACTGGATATATGTTTGATCAGTCTTCCAGGATCATGAAGTACAGTTTGTGAATTTTCAGCCTCTGCATCCTCAGCCTCTTGGCTTTCTATAGCACTGACAGAGATACACAACTAGAGCTCCAAACCTCGTCTTCAAGACCACAACCCTTCCCCACCTCAACTGCTAATATGCCACTGCACTGGCCATCCAAACCAGCTGATTCTGATCACCCCTCCAGGAAGGAAGCCTTCCCAGAGTCAACCACACTCATCCCTAAAAGACTGTGGCTCTTGCTTCTCATAACCCTCATTTGGGATTTGGTAACAGGCTGGCATTAAGTAAATCCTCTCCAACTATATTAAAAACCAGTTCTAGGCCCAGCCCAGGTCATCCATGCCTTGGAATTCTCTCCAAAGCTTAGCAGCAATTTGCCTGTGGTGAATAATTACAATTTTCAATGGTGCAAGAAACGAGCAATTTCCTCAATTCCTCACTGAGCAATGACTGACTGACCTTAACTTTGGAACCAGACATACCTGGGTTTCAATTCTTTCAGGAAATTTAACCTCTCCAAACAGCACTGGCCATACCTGTAAAACTAGAAGGTTGCCACAAAAGTGATATTAAAATACTTAAAGAGTGTGGCATAAGTGTTTTATAAAATTAGATGTTTTCTGTTATGAACATTCATGCATGTTATTTCATACATGAACCAAAAAACTTCTTCCTATGAACTTTTAGAGAACACCATAGAACCTACTCTATCAAGAGCACTTGAGCCAAGTGCAGTGGTGCATGCCTATAATTCCAGCTCTCGAGAGGCTGAGGCAAGAGTATCATTATGAGTTTGAGGCCAATCTGGGGTTAAAGCCTACCTAAACAACATAGTAAGACCATCTCAAATAAAAAAAAGTGTCGGGGCATGGTGGTGCCCAACACTTGGGAGGCTGAGCCAGGAGGATTACTACCAGTTCAAGGCCAGCCTGAACTGCATAGCAAGACCCTGTCTCAAAAAACAAAAAAAAGTGGGCCAGGGATAAAGCTCAGTGGTTTCACCACCTGCTGCGCAAGTGCAAGGACCTGAGTTCAATCCCCGGTACAAAAAAACAAACAAACAAAAAGAAGTAGTAGGAGTAGTTAGTTCCCAGAGGCTGACTTGTCCCAGAGAAACATAATGACAGAACCAGTCTCACTTCTCCCCAGACCTATGTCACCCAAGACCCATGCTGTCACACAGGACACTGTCTGAGCCGAGAGCAACAATCCCAGAGAATCTGGTGCAGCTACTCTTGGAGAGCACAGGACCAACTTCTTGGCCACCTCATTTCACAATGACCACTCTTCACCCCCATATTTTTCTCCAAAACTGTCTCCTCTGTACATCCATGCCTCTAAACAGATACAGGAAGTCTCCTTTGTCTCCAGGACATCTGTACTTCCTCAACACTGACCACAGGGTGACTAAGTCAAAAGAGTTATCCAAAAGTAAACAAAGAAACTAACTAGTAAGGAAAATGTTTAAAAGCCTAAAGACTGTCCTGAGCCACAGAAGCCTCTGGTAAGTACCTTAGAGATGTTTAATCCTGAAGACATTTCAAAGCACTGAACAGTTAAGAACAAAACCAAAAGAGCAATAGCCCTTTCATACCAGTCCACTTGATTCCAATCTCTAGAAACTCTAGTTTTTACTCCGAACCCGAGAATCCTCAGAACATTCTAGAAACATCCAACAGAGTTCTAGTGTTTTTGGGGGTTTTTTTTTTTGGTACCAGGGATCGAACTTGAGACCTTGCACTTGCAAGGCAGGCGGTGGAACCACTGAGCTAAATCCCTGGCCCCCAGAGTTCTGTTTTAAGGCTGATTTCCAGACATAGGTATCCATCAAGCGAGGCAGAAAAGCCTGACCCACCCTCTTCCCCCACCCTCAACTCTCCCATCCACATTGCCACCAAGGGCTGACAGGACAAATGTCACAGGAGTTTCAAGGACTGGTCTGGCCAGCAAACAAGGCAGGTATTCCTCTACAAGCATGGCAAGCCTCCCCTAGTCACTGCAGCCAGGAAAACGCCAATGATTAAGGCAGTGCCTACCTGCTGCATCAGTTCAGCTGCTTCATCATCCCCGTTGCCCACACTAGGATTCTTCCGCACCACCCCGGGGCCAGCCTTAGGAGTCACAGTAGTTCTCTGTGTTGAAATGGGTCTCTGTGGAGCTGAGAAAACATCAGACTTTTTAAAGAGAAATTTCAAAAATAAGCAAAAACCTATAGACATCAAGGAAAGGATGTGATCAACTACTTTCCACACATGTCCAGTGAAGAGAATGAGTGCGAGTCAGCCCTATCATGGGAGACAATAAACATCTCACATTTGCCTAAAGTGGTTTTTATCCTGGTAGCACGGTTACGTACCAGTTTTTGGCACGCTGTTTTCATGCCAAGACTAAGTCTTCCTGTGAGGTCTCTACTCTACTGCAGTGAACTGAATTGTCATATGAAAGAGGTGCAGTCATTCTGCTACATACAGATGATGCACCTTAACCCAGCTTTAACCAACTCCACAAGCAGGGTAGCTTCACAGATCAAAAGTAAAACCTGAGCCAAAAGTAGATCACAATTCCAGCTGCTGGAACCAACTGTTCCCCATCTGAAAAACAAATCCCTCCTGATTCTTAACTTCACACTCACTGGATTAGAACAAGGAAGAAGGGTGGGGATTTAGCTCAGTGGTTCCATCGCCTACCTCACAAGCTGAAGGTCCCAAGTTTGATCCCCAGTACCCAAAAAAAAGAAGACATTTCTGAAATCGTTACCAGGGATTTAGCTCAGTGATGCCACCGCCTGCCTCACAAGGGCAAGGCCCCGAGTTCAATCCCCAGAACCAAAAAAAAAAAAAAAAAAAATACACAGTAAGATAAAACACCAATTTAACTACATAAAATTTTAAAGGGCCAGGGATTAGCTCAGTGGCGCCGTGCCTGCCTCACAAGTGTAAGGTCCTGAGTTCGATCCCCAGTACTGCAAAAAAAGTACAAGTAAGGAGTGATAAGGCTGGCAAAGCCTGTTCTTATCACTATATATCAAAACTTCTAACTTTTGCTCACTTTTTAGAAGGTGTTTAGAAGGGTCAGGAGAGAAAAGCATCTCATTGACTAGGATTTATAGATTTCTCTTAGTATTTATTACCAAAAGCAGACAAAGCAGTGGCCAACCTATCTGCAGGTTAAAGTAATCAGGAATGGTTTAGGGGGATGGGGATTTTGCTCAGTGGCACCACACCTGCCTCACAAGTGCAAGGTCCTGAGTTCGATCCCTGGTACCAAAAAAAAAAAAAAAAAGAATGGATTACTTCAAAATAAATGTATTGTTCATGATTTCACTTATTCAATTAACAATTATTCTGTAATATTTGTACATTAAGCCAGGCTGGATCTAATCTTCCTGACATCCATAATTTATAACCATAGGCCTTTTGTCTAGAGTAACAAACACTGGCTCTAAGATATGTTTATCCTGAAGACTAAATGATTATTACAACTCTCCAATCAATTGTTAACAGCACCTGAAAAGTGAAATGTACAGGGTTACCTATCCAATTGCCATTCTAAACAAGGTTAAACACAGAGTTAACATGCAGTCCAGGAATTCTGCTCCAAAACATGTCTAGACAGAAATCATGTATGAATCTTAGTGGCATTACTCATAAACAGCCGAAAAGTAGAAAAACCAGAAATAGCCATAACTGATAAATAAGATACGGTAGTCCTACTAAAATATTATTCTGCAATAAAAAGAATGAAGCAAAGCCAGGCATGGTGGTGCAAGCCTGTAATCCCAGCACTCAAGAGGTTGAGGCAGCAGGATTGCCACAAGTTCAAGGCCAGCCTAGGCTACACAGTAAGTTCAAGTCAGCCTGAATTATAGAATGAGAGCTTGCCTCAAAAAAAAAAAAAGGAAGAAAAGAAAAAGAATGAGGTAATGATAAATGCTACAGCATGGATGAACCTTAAAAACATGCTAAGTCAAAGAAGCCAGATGCAAAGACCACATATTCTATGATTTCATTTATATAAAATGTCTAAAACAGGCAAATCCACAGATAGATTAGTGGTTGCCTAGGAAGAACAGAGAAGAGTTGCAATAAGAGGTGACTGCTATTGAGCACACAGGTTTCTTCTTGGAGTGATAAGAAAGTTCTAATAAACACTGTGGTAATGGCTGCACAACTCTTTTGACTATGCTAAACAAACATATACACAAACTTTTTTTGCAGCACTGAGGACAATACCCACAGCTTCACACATGCTACAGAAGCATTCTATCACTGAGCTATATCCTTGGCCCTTTTTATTTTGAGACTAGGTCTCTAACTTGCAATCCTCCCTCCTCAGCCTCCCAGGTAGCTGGGATTACAGGCATACATCACTAAGATCGGCTTAAATTAAGCATTTTAAACAGGTGAAATGCACGGCACACCAATAATATCGCAATAAAACTGTTAGTGACTTAGTGAGACCCTGTCTCAAAAATAAAAAGGGCTAGGGATATTGCTTAGTGCAAAGAAAGCCTTGAGTTCAATCCCCAGTACCAGAAAGAAAAAAAAAAGTACTGAACAAACCATCTGTACCCACAACCTGGACCAGCCTGTCTCTAGATACTATGGGATCTTAACTAATATTACTTCTTGCTATCTTTTAGGAAAGAAGGAATTAGCATCTATAGAATATCTACCCTGCTTCAACATAAGTGTATGCTCTATGAACAACTAATGTAAACACACCCTGGGAAACCTATCAAGCCAAAAATTTCTCAAGATGGTCTCTAAAAACAGCCCTCCTACACACCATACCCTAGCCCACCCCACCTCTCAGATTCTGCTACCATCAGAGCATACCACAGCTGCTCACCAGTCAAAGCTATAGAGAAGTAGTCATGAGTAAGCACAGGAAGCTGCAGACAGCCTAGAGTGAGCCCTGTGACCTAGAAAACTCCTTCAGGTCCTAGGAACCCAGGCCTGATTGTAACTTACCTTCAAGGTTCTGTGAAAGCTCTCTTATGTGAGCTAGCATGAGGGATTTTCTATTCCATACAACTAGAGAGCTTTGGCAAAATGGCATACAGTAACTCCTGCAAGCCTCAAAGACCACCCTCTGGGGCAAATATTAAATTTTCCACTTTACAGAGGAATCTGTGGGGGCAGAGTGAAGGGACTCACATAGGGCTGCATAGAACACACATACACACAGATCTTTCTCATGCCAGAATCCATCCCCACATCAAATACATAGGATTAGGCTTCTAAAGATCCCAAACCTGTAGCTCTGCAAAAAGTTCTGAGTCAGGGCTAGGGACACAGCTCAGCACCACAGCACTTTACTAGCATGCCCAAGGTCCTGGGTTAAACCCTCAACACTTCCCACCCCAAAACTCTGATTCAATGTGAATGAAAGAATACCTGGAATACTATTATTTGGATGTGATGTCTAGGGCTGTGTTTTTGTTTTCTTACCTGCACTGCTAGAGCTGAGAGGTTTCTTCGGTTTATTCAGAGCCGGAGCAACAAGGGAAGGAGCCACTGCAGTTTCCTGACCTTGTCTGGCAGCTACAGGGTCATACTCTTTTCCATCGTAGTTTGCATCAAAAAACTTCTTGAACCACTGAACGAATTCAAAATTGTCCTGAAACTTTCCTTTTACTAATTTATCCACAGGAATTATCTGCAAAGAAATTATCAAGAAAGAGGTTTTTGACAAGTATCAAATCTGTCCAGGTGTCAAATCAAATTAAAGCTCTCCCAAAAGGAGGGGAAAATTTTTTACAGAACTTAGTGCTAAGTCCCTAGAAATTTATAGTGCAAATTTCACTTCTATTTGCCTTCAACAGAGTACCAATGCCTCACCAGTCCCTCAAACTTATGAAAAGGAAACTGAAAAAGAAGAACAAGTACCATTAAATCACATATAAACATCCAAATCCAGGCTAAGATGTGATATAAGAACCATTCCACTAAAAAAGGAAATCCCTAGTCACAACAGTGCCTGTTACAAAGCATGAAATCTACAGCACAAACCAACCACAGGCCTCCACACGGAAAATTCTAACTTGAAAATTGGTCAAGGTGCAGAATCAAATAATTTCTACAAAACGACATTTTTCAAGTAATTCAAGTCCTATTAAAACATACTCAAGGACCCCACAAGTTTCTTTTACTGTACAAGAACACTGTATTATTAGCATTATTTCAAATCACTGAGGTATTGACAAGAGTCGAACTATCATCTTTTTTTGTTTCTGCAGTACTGGGGACCCAACCAAGGGCTTCCTACATGCTAGACAAACACTCCTATCACTGAGCCATATCTTCAGCCCTTTTTATTTTTATTTTTGAGACAGGATCTCCCTAAGTTGCCTAGGCTGGCATCAAATAAGCAATTCTCTTGCCTCAGCCTCCCAAAGAGCTAGGATTACAGGCATGCTATCTTCCAATTTCCAAGAATTCCAACTACAATGGAATTATTACATATATATATATATATATATATATATATATACACGAAAAACTTGTATAAATATTTTAATACTAAATTTATTGAGACATCATGAAAATCCTAATGTTTATGTAGACAAAACAGTCAATTTACCAGGAGTCAATGTTTGCTTTGTATTTTATACAAGTTTTTCTTTTCCTGAAGTGTGCATACATTTTTTTGGTGGACAATTACATATACATACACAAACACATATATATGACCTGAGTGTGGTGGTACACACTTATAATCCTAGTTACTCAGGAACACATAACCCTATGAGTTCAAGACTAACCTAGACGAAACAGACCCTCTCCAGAAACAAAAAAAAAGCAGGACGTGGTGGTACATGCCTGTAATTCCAGAATTCAGGAGGCTGAGGCAGGAGGACTGCTGTAAGTTCAAGGCTAACTTGGGCCACAAAGACAGTTCCAAGGCCAGCATACACTACATAGCAATACCCTGTCTCAAAAAACCAAAAAGTGTGTGTATGTACAACTATTATGCATCAATTAAAATTTTTTAAACATAAAAACTACGCAAGTCTAAACTACATCTACCTATTTGAAAAATAAATATGCTTTTTAAAAACTTTGTATGACACTGAAATATTTACAAATTAAAAAAAAATTTTTTTTCGGTTTTTTGAGACAAGGTCTTGTTATGGAGGCCAGGCTAGCCTCAAATTTGCAGCAATCCTCCTGCCTTAGCCTGACAAGTCATGGGATTACAGGCGTGCGCCATCATACCCGGCACAAATGAAATATTATGTCTGGACCCAGGAATACAGTTCAGTAGTAGGATATTGTACTTGCCTAGCATGCATGAGACCCTTGGTTCAATTCCCAGCACAACAGGAAATAAAAGTACTTCTGGGTTCACTAAAATAATCCAGAAGTATAGAGTATGACTGAGCTAAAACAAAACTGGTCATGATAACCACTGAGGTACATCACAGAAGATTAACACTACTCTACTTTCGTACTATTAGAAATTTTCCATATTTAAAATATATACATACATGTAATACCAGTGCTTATTTTATTTTACACACTGTATACAAATAAAATTAAATAAAAACAAGACTGATTTCAAAATAAATAAAAACCAGACACAGTAGCAAGGTAATTAAGGACAATATAGGCTTTACCCCCTGCCCGAAAAAAATGATCCCTCAAAAAAATGGCTTAAAAGGATAAGCCTTTTCAATGTGGAGGAAAAACAAATCCCTTAATTTTCCTATCTACTATTATCTGCTAAAACAGAGGTAATATGTTTGCTAATGAAATCTGGTGGACCATGTTTCTGATATCAAATAACCTTTGGAAAGGAGGATGCTTCCCAGTACCCACCAAAGTTCCTGCTATGAAGGGCAAATATTTCTAGAATCTTCTTTATTGGTACTATTTATTCATATATAGTATGCTTTGCAAAAACAAATCCAAAAATTAAGAAAGTCAGATCCTAGACTAACAGAGATTAAACAATAGTATTAAAAAAAAAAAATCACTGGTACAGATTTATAAGTTGAATCTTCCAAACAGTTACTAAATTCATAGCTGATAAAGAAGATATACAGGTGGCTGGGTGTGATGGTGCACACCTGTGATCCTAGCTAAGGCAGGAAGATCACTGCAAGTTTGAGGCCAGTGTGGGCTATATAGTGAGTTCAAGGCCAGCCTGAACTAAACAGTTGAGACCCTGTCTCAAAAAAAAAGAGACAGAGGAGAGTAGAGGTAGGAGGGTAGATAAGGTTGCTCCATGTAAATTGTACATTAACTAGAGAAAAAAGAGCTATGTAAACTGGGGAAAAGAGATCATCTAAGTCATGGGCTCCTGTCAGTGTCCTTAGTAACAAGCATTAACTGAGGAAAAAATAACTTAAATGAAGGAATAAAATTTACTTACTTTGTCAACACCCATCCTTTTAAAACCTGCTTGCAGTATTTTGAAGTTCTGGATATATTCATGTTCTAGCTTAGCTTGGAATTTCACTTTCTTCAAGGCAATGGAGCCAGGGAAAAGCATGTCCATAAACTGACAATAGGCAGCCCCTGAATGAACAATAACCACACAAAAATACAACAAACACTAGGTTACTAAATGCGACTGATAAAGAAGCATGGTCAATTTTTTCCCAGATCCACTTAACCCAAACATAATTTTAAAGTTGTAAGCAGAGCATGGTGGTACACACCTGTAATCTCAGCACTTGGGAGGCTGAGGCAGGAAGATCACCAGGAATTCGAGGCCAGCCTGGGCTACATAGTGAGTTCAAGGCCAGTTTGAACTACATAGTGAGGCCCTGAAGTTGTAAGATAGACATACAAAACCAAAAGCTTCATCACCACTTGAATTCAAAGTCAATTTTGAAAAATCTATTAACAAGACCTGGGCCTGGTGGCACACACCTGAATCCCAGGACTCTGGGATGCTGAACCAACAGGATTGCAAATTCAAGCCCAACCTAGGCAACTTAGTAAGGACCTGTTTCAAAACACTAGTAAGATGAAAAAAATTATGAAGGCCTGGTGATGTATCCTAGTGCAAAGGCCTAGTACTGAAAAAAAAAAAATTAACAAGACTGGGTTTTTTTCCTCCTGTGGTAGTGAGATCAAACACAGACTCTAGCACTATGAAAATGTTCTACCAATAAGCTATACCTCCAGTCCTTTTTATTTTGAGACAGAATCTTACTAAGGTACCCAGGTTGCCCCTGAACTTGATCCTATTTCAGCTTCCCTAGTAGCTGGGACTACAGGTATATAATAACATGCTACAGGGCTAATAAGACTGTGGTTTTACCTGATAAGTTCTGTAACACACTTGCAATTTGGAAGCCTATAGCTAGGAAGAAAAGAATGTTTCTATTGAATATAAAACTCCACACCTATGATCCCAGCACTGGTGATGCTGAGGCATTAAGATTACTGCAATGTTGTTTCTTTTTTTTTTTTGGACCAGATTGAACTAGGGTCCTTGCGCTTGCACAGCAGAGGGCGAAACCACTGAGCTAAATCCCTGGCCCTGATTGCTGCAATTTTGAAGCCTATCTGGGCTGCACAGTGAGTTCAAGGCCAGCCTAAATATACAGCCAGACCCTGTCTCAAAACAAACAAACAAACAAAAATCATCATGACAATCATACAACCACTAGAGAGAAAAGTGAATGCCTAGAATAAAGGAAAACAAAGATGACATTGTCTAGTTTTTCACAAGGACACAGCCTCCTCTCCACAAGGGTCGGCCAGTGCGGGGCAGGGGGAATTGCAAAGATCCACCTTCTGCCCTAGGTTAAAAAACTGCAGAAGGCCTGGTGGGGGTATAACTCAATGGCAGTATACTTCACTAGCTTACACAAAGCCCTAGGTTGAATTCCCAGCATTGGCCCCCCCCAAAGAAGTAATTTTTTATAAACAAAGTTGAAGACATTTTGTGCCTCACTATTAACAAAACGTAAATTATACTTTGTATTTTAAACACTACTATAATAACTACATGTATTCTATCCTATTTACTCACCAATTGCATTCCTTCCCCTACTTGCCCATTTTTTTCTAGTCCCCAAAAATCATTCTAGTGGTGCTTAAACTTTCCAGGAATATCATTTCTCTGATGCCTACCAAGCTGACCTCTCCTAATTCACAGTAGGCCTCGCTGTGCACTTACTGCCCTTCAGGGCATTTCACCAAAGGAGCAAGGTGGGAAGGAGGCAAGAAAACCAGTGCAGAACAGTGAGTGTTCTGCTGGACTCAGGGGCACCATAAAATGTATATTCAACTTTATATCAGGCCAAAATGCTCCCTGCCAGGTCCAGCATAAAGAATGTCATCATTATTATAAAGACACGTTAATGACCACGGTGACATTCTTTGTAGCATCTTTAGAAAGTGAAATCTTGATTTTCAGGTGGCTTATTTACTTATTCATCAAAGGACACTCTTTAATGTACTAAGCATTCCATTAGCAATATTTACATTTTTAAAAATAGGGGGCCAGGGATTTAGCTCTCGCAAGCGCAAGGTCCTGAGTTCGGTCCCCGGTACAGGGGTTGGGGGGACAGTGTTGCCCAATGCTACGTAAACAAGAGGCCAAGTTTAGGAACACATTCAAGCATCCTAATTCCCAGTTCTTTTCCATATCATTATAAGCCCTCCTGAGATGCCATACAGTTCAATCAATAAGCACTATTTTCTGGATGTGGGGGGCAAAAATAACTATATCATGCCACTATACTCTTGCTGGCTGAAACAGGATTAATATACAAGGGAAAACATTAAGACCGCACTAAAAGGAATGAGAGATAGCTCAGTGGTCCACCTCTTGCCTAGCATGTGTGAGGCCTCAGGTTTGATACCTAACACTGGAAAAAGAGAAAAAAGACTCATTAAGAACCAACAAAGCTGAGCTGAACATGGTGGTACATGCCTATTATCCCAGCACTCTAGGAGGCTGAGGCAAGAGGATTGCAAGTGCCAGCTCAGACCAGGCAACTTAGTGATTTAACAAGACTCTGTCTCAAAATTTAAAAAAAAAAAAAAGACCAGAAGAAAATACAATGTATTAGGTTAAGCCACATGTATTTAGTAGATTTAAAATGGTCAATAACGGCCATGGGGAAGGGATACAGAATGCGTTCTATTCTGTAAATGTTTAATTTGTACTACAGTATTTTTATAATCAAAATACAGAAAAGGGTAGTTTTTTTTCAAAGAAAAAAAAGTATATCAGCTATTTCTTAAAGGAAAACAGCTGAAAACTCCTAACCTAGAAATGTCTCAACTGGGTAGAGAACAGTTAAAGGGGGGGCCTTCCTTTATCTCTGCCTTAATGACAAATGTGGTCATGACCAGAGCAGAAGCTGACTACACAGCAGGGCTAGAAAAGGACCTCTCTTCAGTTCAGGAGACAAACAGAACCTTGTGAAAGAGCCTCAAAAGATGTTCCTCAGGCCTGAGATGACAGGAGAGAGGTGGAATCATGGCCTCAAAGGGAGTACATGGAAATGCCTGAGGGGAAAGCAGAGCTAGGATTTAGGTAATGAGACAGGGGAGAAACATCCTAAGTAAAGTAAGGGAGGCCTGATTAAGAGCATGGTATCACTCCCAGAATAGGTGCAGGCCATAAACAGTAGAACAGAAACAAGAATGACAAAGTGTCTTATGTGAACTCAAGGGCTATCGAGGTTCCACAAGAAGCTGGGGAAAAAGGAAGCCAGAATACCTCTCCTATTCTCTGCAGCACAGGAAGTATGAAGGCAGCCAGGCTGCAGAGGAGAAAAGGAGAAAAGTGAATGTCTGGTGAAAGTTCTATATGGACAAAACACCATGCTGTGGCCTTGAGAAAACACAAAGGGTCCTTAATATGGAATGAAACTGGGAGAACAGAGGAACGGTTGGCAACAAGCAGTGGTGGTCCCTTTTTGACAAAAGGAATCCCTGATCAAAAACATTCTGTGATCAGATTTTTCCTTGATCACTTACCTTTCCAAAATATGTGATGGCTTGCTCTCCAAAGAAGGAAGATTACAGAATTAACAATGAATCTTAAAACAAACTGCCAACTCATCACTAAAACTTACCCTCCCTCACCTTATCTCACCATCAGAGCTACACAAAGGTTTGTGTACAATGCAGAGGGGCCAGAAGCCCATGGTGCTACTCAACCACTTCACAGGCAGCCAGCACACTAACAGGGCAGGACCTCAGAGCTTTACCCTCTCAAGGCAAAAACCTATTCTTACCTTTTAAGAATAAAAGGTGGAGGGCCAGGGATTTAGCTCAGTGGTTTTGCCACCTGCTGTGCAGGCCCAAGGACCAGAGTTCAATCCCCGGTACCAAAAAAAAAAGAATAAAAGGTGGAGAAGTATGACTACCACCAACCATTCTGCTTGGTGGATAATTCTGGTCTGGTTGAGTTCTGCTCAAATGAGGAAAGATTGGAAAGGATCAAGCACCAGGGCTAAAGGCCTCCCGGGACCTCAGAAAGCACAAAGAACTGAGGAAACTAGGAGACTCCCTTCACTCCTACCTTCAATCACCAGGAAACAGACTGGAGTATCTATGGCTCATCCTGTTTGGTCTCATACCGGTAACAAGACCCAGGTTTCAAAACATCAACACGAAACACAATGCAACCATCTACATATTCCAAGAGAGATTCTACACAACTTTTAAGAGGAAGACTAGTTAATGAATGAATATGTCTGTCTACACATGACATGTAAGTGCCCCCCACTTAGCACTTTCTAAAGGGAAAAAAACAGTATCTGAGATAAGTGGTAAGCATCAAGCAAAACTAGCGTATTTCATGGGTTTTACAATGAAACAATATTATAACTATTTACATATAACTTACATTTGTTTAACTCTCTTCCAAATGCTTCTTTAATAAAAGATGTAATACGTAGGGAGTATAAAGCACGTGGAAGGCCGGGGATTTACCTCAGTGGTGCCACCTGCCTCACAAGCACAAGGTCCTGAATTTGATCCCTGGTACCAAGAGAGAAAAAGGAGAT